TGGGGGAAATGCATGCGAGGGTTGGCCCTGATTTATGTCTCTTGTGTTCCTCAGCTGTGTGGCTATTGCTGCACCGGCCACGTCTTCAGCTCCCAGTTTAACCCCCCGAGGTGGGTGGGGCTGTCTGGGAAATCGGAGTAACCTCCCTGGTGGGCTCACTTGGGACACTAGGGTGACCAGACAGCAAATGTGAAAAATCGGGATGGGAGTGGGGGGTAATATGAGCCTATATAAGAAAAAGACCCAAAAATCGGGACTGTCCCAATAAAATCGGGACATCTGGTCACCCTAGGTCTGTCACAGTTCCCTCTTCTCACATCTGGTGGCTTCAGGATCCTTCTGGTGTGCAAAGTGACTAGACTAAATATGTTCTATTAAAACAGGCTTTTGTTTTGTCCACAGGTGACTGTGGGCCCCTGCCAAAGCTGAATCATGCTATCCCCTCCGATATGGATCGGATAGAGGGCTTCCCTGTTGACACACAAGTTACATACAGGTGCCGTGATGGCTTTGTTAAAATCCCTGGAAAGTCAGACACTGTAGTGTGCCTTTCAAACTCACAATGGTCAAACATCAATGAGTTTTGTGGTCGTAAGTATTATATTTCTCTGGAATAAAGTTCTTTGAGCTGCCTTTCACTTATGAAAAAATAAGACCTTTCCTATGTAGTATAGTAGGTATAGTCAAAAATAGCTCTGCCCTGTAATGATACCCAAAGGGAAGGGGAAAAAATTTACATGAAGTTTAATGTCTTTCATCTAATCTGGGAATATGAACACTGAAATACAGGAATCCTAATTGTGTGCTTATTTCTTGGCATCACTACTAGGGTTATTTGGGTGGCCTAACTCTGTATTTCCATACTTAAACATGTTTTTGGGGAGGTGGTAAGAGTAACCTTAACTCCTGAATTTCCTGGATTTATAATACAGTAAAAGCTTTGCTATCCAGCATGTTGGGGGAATGGGGTGTACTGGTTAATCAAATATTCCAGTTAATTAAGCATTATACTTACCAATGGAATACCAATTTTCAAAAATTAGAAAACAATAAAAAGTTTTCTATTGGGGGCCCATTCAGCATGGGGTCTATTTTAACAAAGGGCATCCAAATGTGATTGTTAGCAGTACTTTAGGGAGGTTACTAAGGGAGTAATTTGTTTTCTAAACACTGAGTTTTGGTGTATTGTTACAACAGACTGTTTTTATACCTGTCTTCATAGCCAAACCCTTCAGATCTAATGTCTGTCTCTACTGCTAGGTAGCTGTGGTGCCCCAACAAGGTTAAAGTTTGCTGCCTTAAGTAAGGAAGATGAGAGCAAGAATTACCATCCTGTTGGGGTCACTGTGAGATATACTTGTCGCCCAGGGTATGAAAACATCACGGAAATGCTTGTTGTTCGTACTTGTCTCGAAAACTTAACATGGTCAGAAGCCCCTGAGTTTTGTAGAAGTGAGTATCTTTTTTTGTTACTTTTGTGTCTCACTTGTTCTGAAAACATCTTTCACAATTAGGACCACCAGGCAGCTGGCTCCCAGTTTGCTAGCTTAATTGATATTTAGTTTGAAGGGCTGTTAGCCAGGTTTTCTCTTAGGATAAATTGCAATAGCTGTATTTCCATGGAATATTTAGCTGTTCTTAAAACTGACTGGAGAAGATCAAGTACCAGGATAGCACTGGCTGTATGAATACAGTATGTCTGCTTTGAATTTCATATGGAAAGTAAATTTCTAATGCAGTACATTTCAACTAGAATAACCCTGGTAAATTACTTGTTGTAGGGGGGAGGAGGACTTTCTGCCATTGAGCTTCCCTGAGGATTATGGGAGGTTTCTTGTCTGTCTTCATTAAAATGGATGACATGGATGGAGTATTTTTTTCCACAATGCTTGGTAACTTGTGGCACTTACTGCCACTAAATACTGAATCAAAGAATTCTGTGGGATTAAAGAAAAAAAAAGGTTGTACACTTAACATGCATGGGGGAGGGATAGCTCAGTGGTTTGAGCATTGACCTGCTAAACCCAGGGTTGTAAATTCAATCCTTGAGGGGGCCATTTAAGGATCTGGGGGCAAAAATCTGTCTGGGGATTGGTCCTGCATTGAGCAGCGGCTTGGACTACATGACCTCCTGAGGTCCCTTCCAACCTTGACATTCTATGATAAATAGGGATAAAAAGACATCAGGGGTATTTTACCTTCGAAACATAAGTCAACCATTAACTGTGGGGTTTTGACAAAACTGTCCTTCCCACTCTCCACTCCTGGCTCCAGTTGGCATTTTATTGCATAATTACCCCTTTTGGTCTGGGCACCTGTGCAGGGTACAGCCTGCCAGGGGTGGAGCACCTTCAGTTGCCACTGGTAAGACTGAGCCCTGTTTGGATTTTACACGTGTGTCCGAAGCCACTGTCAGAGAGACGCTACTGGACTAAAAGACCCTGTGATCTGGTTTGGTGTGACACTTACTATATAAAGTGGTCTGAGTGGACATGCAGCTATAGCCTTCCTAAGTATGTTGTTGTTAGCTCTTCTGTTTCCATCATGACAACACAAATTAATGCTAATCCTAGCCTTGGTCTCTATTAGGGAAATCATGTGGTCATCCAGGAGAACTACTCCATGGCAGAGCTGTTCATATAACAGAATTTCTGTATGGTGCAAAAATAGACTTCCTCTGTGAAGATGGGTGAGTGTCAAGGTGCCTCTGGTAGTTAATTCACAGAACTTTGGTGTACAATTGCTGGCTAACTGCAAAATAATGCATGGTCTAACTTCAAAACCATACTTGGGGGTAGTGCTATCAACTGCAGCTTTGGGGTGGGCTCTCGTTTGGAAGTAGAGCTTTCAAACAGTTTGGTAGTATGGATTCTGACTCCACCCTCCCCATTTTAATGATGAAGTTGAAATGGGAAGAAGTCCCAGCTGTGTGTAGAGGAGGGAGAATAGGGATTTGCTGTGGTGCCTTTACTTTTTGCACTCTGTATAGTTCAGTGAACACCAGATCCTGTCCAGATGGGTTATGTAGTGCCACAGAGTCTATAACAAGTATAAAATCAGGCCCGGTATGTCCCAGTTCACATGCAGCTGGGCATGAACTTAAATCTTTCCACATGGAATGCAAATGTTGTCAGGTGGAGTTATCCAGTATTTGGTGAGGTAGAGTCTCAGTGGCCTGGCTTCTGGTGGGAAGAACACTTCCTGGTTGAAATATTTCTCGGATGCCCTAAATTTTGTAGCATGCGCCCTGGGTGTGATTCTGGCCTAAGTATAACTTCTATCACAAACTAAACTTGGCACAAATATTTTTAAGCTTTTACACACAATAGAAAGTAGGTCCAAATTATGGTAGGTGTCTAGACAAATAGGTGAGCATAAAATGACTGTGTGTGTGTATGTATATATATGTATGTGTGTGTATGTATATATATAATTTTTTAAAGGAAGTACTGCATAGAAGGTGTGGGGGTTCAAGTGTCTATTTGAAAAAACTACTCCAGTACAATTGGTCTGTCAGTTGCCTTTGCAGCTACAAAGCACTTCTATGAACCATGCTTTCCATCGATCTGTAACTTGGTTCAAATTTTGCATGCATGGTTTTAATCAGGGTTTAGAGAACTGGAAAAGATCTTTAGTTGCGAAATGAAAAACAACTCTGTACCAAAAACTGTTCTTTGTCTCTTTCCTATTAAAACCTTAACACCCCCTAACTCCAAACACACATGGTTAGGCCTGGTCTCTGCTTAATATAGGTTGACGTAGGTATGGCA